ACATCAGGGTTGGAGTGAGACTGAGAATAATTGGATAACTCATGTATACTACATTGAGACAGATGTGAGAAAGAACAGTTAATAAGTGATATATGATTGGGTATTATGGTTATAACAAGAGTCCAGAATGAAGCTTGTATAGTGGAGTGTACCTGAGGGAGGAGGGAGAGGGGTATTGTATACCAATGAAAGAATGTTTCTTTTACTTTTCAAAGAGAAGAGCGAACTAGGAGGGAGGAGTGGACAGGGAGAAAAATGCAACAATGAATGAATGGAAATCCAAAATCTCTGTAAATATTCATTAAAATTAAAAAAAAATAGGCAGATAGATCAGCCTTGCCAGATAATCAGAATGCTCCCTGAAAGCAAGGATGGTGAGACTGATTTGCTAACTTAGGGAGTGTGTTAAAAAAGACTATTTATTAAAAAAGACTATTTGCTAGTACAGGACATCATTGTTGGTAAAGTGGAGGATGAATGAGTGAGGCAAACCCTTAGATGTGAAGGATTAACACAATAACCCCAGTAGTAGACTCAGATGTACCAGTTATCAGGAAGAGGGTGCAGGACTGGCACATTTCTGTTACACACATGGTCACTGCGTATCAGAGCCTGGTCAACGGCAGCTAACAACAATGTGTCTAAGTTATGAAGCGTAAGAATGGGACACTCTTCAACTTATCCATTCCTTAGGACCCATCAAAGCACCTGATCTCATTCTCTATCCTAACCTGAATTTTATGAATTTTATTTCACTGCCTTTTATCCTCTAATTTTACTATATGTTTGCATCCCTAAAATGCTCTTTTGTCTTGTTGTTTCTGAGCTTTATAAAAAAATGATATTGTAGTCTATACATTTACATCTTGATCCAACACTGTTTCTAAAGTACATCCATGATGTATGGTTTTGTGTTTAAAAAGAAATAAACTAGATGATGTGTGACACTTTTGGTCTTCTCGTGTCAGGAGTTGAAGGGCCCCTGACTGGAGATGTGGGGAGGAGGAGCTTTCTGGTCCCTTGGATGACTCCCTGAAAAGCATTTCAGATAAACTAGTTTGGCTTTTTCTTTGCTCTAGTCTTGTCCTGAAGATAACTCTGAGAGGCAGATACAGTAAAAACTTGTTCCATGCCAGGAGGCTCTGCAAAGTTATATGCCTCTACAACATTCACCTCAAAACTTAGGGTGTCTCATCAACATTTTGCTTACAGATCTTAAGCATAGGCAGAGCTTGGCAGAGATAATACTGAATGGGGCAATTTGAGAGGTGGAGGCTGAAATTCCCTTACAATTGATTGGCACATTGTATCTCACATTATGAGGGATGATTACATCATTACATAACAGCCTATGACCTGTCCCAGTAATATCAAAGAGATTAAGACTCACAACCCATAAGAGAGTTACATGGTACTGAGGATCATGGCTTAATCAACTTGACACATATTCTAGGGGAGGAGATACAATTTAACCCACAACACTGATAGTCCCTCTAGTGTGGGATCTTATAGGCAGACAGGATTCAAGTGACTGGACTTTCGTGAGGGAGATGAGCTCCTATTTGCAGTGTGGCCCACTTTTGTTATATTCAGGTGAGGATGTGTGAGTACTCTGCTTTTTGTGGACCCCTTCAACTGTGAACATAAGATGATCATCTCAAGGCTCTTAGAACCAGCAACCCATTCCCTGAGAGTATTTGATTTTGATTAAGAAGTTTACATTTCTTCCTGCTAGCTGTGCTATATACATGGATATATTTACAGCATCTACCAGTAGGAACATTGAAATAGTATTTGTTATTAGCCATTTAAAAATCTTTGGAGACGTCTCTATTTAAATTGCACTTCTATTAAAAAAATTGGACTATTTGTCTTTAAAATTTTTTAATTGTAGGGGCTATTTATATATTCTAGATACAAAGTGCTTATAAAATATGCTATTTGTATTTTTTCCTCCTATGAAAAATTTGTTCACTTTCTTGGTGTTGTTATTGGAAGCACTAATATTTTTAACTTTGATGTCTAATTCATATAATTTTGTTATTAGACATACTCTTTCTAAGAAACTTGTCTAAGCTAAAGTTAGGAGACTTAACACGTTTGTTTTCTTCTAAGAGTTTCTTTTCCATTGTTACATTTAGATCTTTGATCCCTTTTAATTAATTTTTGTGTGTGATGTGAGGTATAATAGAGCCAACTTTATTCTTTTGCATGTGGAAATTCAGTTGCCACTACCATTTGTAGAGACCCCTGGTCTAGTGGAAAAGGAGTTGCACTGCCAATCCGGAGGAAAATGGTTCAACTTTATGAGCAGCTTCATGAGAGAAAGATAGTCTCCTCTTAAGTTTTTTACTGCCTCTCAATTGGACAATTAAAACAGACATTCGCCGGGGGGGGGGGGGGAGGAGGGGAGAAGAACGAACTGGGGAGGAGGGTAGAGAAAACAGTGCAACAATGAATGAATGAGAACCCAAAATCTCTGTAAATGTTCATTAAAATGAATAAAAGTTAATAATTATTAAAAAAAGTTTTTTACTGCCTCTGAAAACTTAAGGGTCAGCTATGAGTCAGTTACAATTTGGTGGCACATAACAACAACATTGTATTTTCTTGGCATTCATCTTTTTTTAATGGTGGAACGACAAGTTTCTGTCAAGGTCAAGAAAGAGAGGAGGAAGTTCTTGGTGGATCCCAGGCAGGTAACAAGTCATGAAATCTATCTACTATTTTTTGAGTCCTGTCATGCTGTGAGTATCACTAGTGTGATCTCATTTAATCCCTCCAAACTTCTATGAGTTGATGAATATTAGAAGTGAGGAAACTGATGTTCAGAGAGATTAAGAAGCTTTCCGAGAAAGCTACTGATGATAATAAGTGATGTTGGGCTTTGAATTCAGCCCCATCTGACTCCAGCCCTGACATTAATGACTCCTGGCTCAGGCAGGAAATAACAGCGCAGTTGACTCTGTATCAGCCACTATTCTAAGCACGTAGCTGATTCATTTCATTCCTTTGCAAACCATATGAGGGGTGTGTACTATTCCTATTCCCATACATGGATAGGGAAACCAGGACATAGAGATGGTACATAATGACCCCCTATCAGTAAGCGGTAGAACCAGGATTTGAACTAGAGTCTGTTCTTTTAACGGCCCCATTACATAGCATCTTTGGTGTAAATCAAGTGCAGTGCTTCCTTTTGGATAGCTTTATAGTCTATTCCTGCGATTTCCCAAACAAGTTGTTTTAATTTTGCCAGGACTCTTTGACCTCATCGTTGATAACTGCTGTCATCCTGAAGATACTTTGTTTTAATGAGATGAGCAATTTTCATACTGCTGGGCTTCTGCTTTTTTAACTGATGGGAGTTATTTGTAATAATAGTGGGCATCATTAAAGTTAAAGGAATCCAACCAATCCCACTGCAGATTTCATTTAAGACAAGAAAGATGCCTTCCACCCTTTAGGCTTGTCCTTACCATTGTTCATGACTTACCTGAGCATAATATATGCTGTAGCGTAAAAGGAGGACTGGCCC